AAAAAAAAAAAAAAAAAAAAAAAAAAAGAAAAGGAAAAAAGAAAAGCCAATTTAAAAAACAAGATCACCCGTACATGTAGAGGCTCTATACGCTCTATTTCTATGTCTACATGTTTAAAGAAAAAATTATCCAAAATAGTTATCGTAAATACGCCAACAATTTATCACTAACATTTATAGGGAAAACTAAAGCAATTTATGACTTCAAAACAAATAGAAATAAGTTCCATGGACCTCGAAGAAATTGACTAAAAGGGGACCATATTGAACATTTTGTCAATTTATTGATTAATTTATTCCTATCTAATTACTACGGTATTTGGTAAGCTTTGTTTACACTTTAAATATGGCTAAATTTCCTATCATTATATGATATTTATGGCAATCTATATTAATACGGAGTTGGCCTGCATTCACCTGAAACGAAAATCATGCCAAGTTTGAAAGTAGTCGATAAAAGAGAGGATTATTGAATATTTGGAGTTAAATCTTTTGTGAAATTTTAGTCACAAAAATAATTCAATTTCTTTCTGAATCATGTTTACTCAACATATGAGCCATTACATGCGGGAAGGAACATATTTCATCCTTGAACGCGACTGTTGTGACCGCACTTGTCTTTATGCTGGATTGATTCATTTTTGACCCAATGGGAAATGCGATATAACACAAAGCCTATTCAAAAGATGTTTAGAACTGCGGCAATGTAACTGTGATCGCGTTACTTTTATTGTGCGTCATGTTTATATCGTTTGTGCGGGGTTAGGGGTTGGATGAATATACAAAAAGGGGTGAGATGCGCCCTCAAAGGCCGTATACTTGATTGAAATTTAAAGAAAACATCGCGGTCCGTTGTTTAGAGACGTTAGCATGGACTCGTTTATGTTGTCAGGTTGTTGGGTCAGATACAACAAGAGCTGACATAAGAAACTTATCGGACCTACGGCCACCCTATTCTACACAACGTAAAAGAACTAAATCGCAGAGCTTCTGTACACTGGACGATGTAGCCACCAACTTGTCACGTCCTGTCGGAATGACTTGCGGGTAAGTTGCTCGGTTTGTGGGTTATTTTTCCCAGGAATAAGTCATCTGTTCGAGTTGTTTACTGCTTTATGAAATCCCACAAGTCTATTAAGGACACCGCGCCAAACATCACTTTCACTGGCCTGTGCTTTTCTCTGCCTGGTGTTTTAAACGCAGGAGAAGGCAAGGACACCGCCTTGCAATTTTTATTTTTTGAAAAGTCACGAGCTTTTTTTAATTAAGCGCCAGGACATTGAAGGGCAATGTACAAAAGCTTGTCTTTGTACTCCGTGATTAGTTCCTGCTGAAAAACTGCCTAATCGAGCATGGGTAGGTATGCGGTAACGTTATGGCAGTCTGTAGATTAAAAAAAAAAGAAACACGAGATCCTCCGCGGGATGAACTTTAACAAAGGATAGGAACAGTATCGGATGCTGCTCGACGCAGGGGATTGAAAAAGAGACGACAAGAGTGGAAAAGCATGGGAAGACATGCAATATCGTTATTATATTAAGTGAGTTGTACATACTTAGATACGTTGACTGATGCCCGTGGTGATGGTAAACGTTCTAAAGTTGGAAACAAAAACACGAGCAGGATATTAAATTTTTTTCCATAACTTCACATTTTACGGATATAACTGTGATCATATCAACAGCAAAGACATTCCCCACTCTAGGCTGTCACTTCCCAAGGGAAGTGCCAATGTCGAGTTGTCATGGATAGTGCCTTTGTCCTGCGATGTCTGTAGCAACAACGCACGGAGTTCTCTCTCATGGGAATGCAACTAGTCGATATCATAAGGCATGCGGAACTATCGTGTATACTATGGTACGGTATACTACGGTAATCATCAATAGCAAATTCAGCCTATTCTTTCTTATTTCTTAATTAATTCAGCTTTGATCATCATTAGGGCGCGAATGCGTTTGTGTGTGCGTGTGTTGCACCAAAAGTAAGTACCAGTTCAATTTAAGCGTAAGCACTTTCCTTTAAATTTCATTTTGTCAACACTTTTAACCTCATATGCCCTCGAGGGTTTTATGGCGTTCAAGGGGTGGTCGGTAGGCATGGCAATCAGTAGTGATGAAATACAAGCGTAAAACGCATATCGACAATAACATTTTAATACCCCTTTACACGCCTGCCTTACATCCACGTAAAAGGCCATTTGAATATAAAACGCCATATTGTTCAGTTTATGTAAGAATACCTGATAAGCAGATTAAAGATGACATTGATAAAATAAGATTTATAAAAGAAGTAACTGCCAAGTTATTACATCGGCTCTGATATTCTGATATTAAAAATAAAGGTTATCCTGGGCAGATTTTTTCATCGTTAAGTTTACGTGAAAGAACGTGTTGAATAACACGCACAACATGTCTGATTGGCAATCCTAACTGTCAGTGTGCATGCCATCATGGACTGCTCCGATGAAGTACTCGCGTACTGCTATGTTAAAAAAGTTCTTTGTAAACATGCCTCCGGAGTATTTCCATTTCCTTGCCGTACTTAATCGCAATGAATTGAAAATTATATCTTGCAGTTTCAATCGATTCCTTAGACATAAGTAGATATAGGCTATGTTTCATTCACTCTACTGTAGTCCTATGTGTTAGTTCTAAGTTGGATTTCATTTTTTGTATGTTTTCAGATGGTATGGCTACTCGATTTTCCAACACTCTCCCGTTGAGAAGTGACCGAGAAGATGCTTTCTAATCCGGACAAGCCCCAAAGCGCCCCTGCCGAGGGTCGTTCTCCACAACCAGACATGCCCGGGAAACCCCTTACCTCTAAGTTCCTGCGTAAAGGGAACGCCGTGCGTGAGATCCAGGACTGGGCGTCCGATGGGACGGCGCCTGGATTCTCACGCCACAGCGGACAGCTTTCAGACAATGTCACGGAAGAAAGGATGCTTAAATCAAAAATAATGGATTTATCCAAGGAACGATATAAATACATGACGCAGAGCGTTTATGACATGAAGCAATTTCTCGACAAACAAAAAAAGAAGAGTCGAATACTTCAAGATTTACTGAAAAATATTGAGGTTGACTCCTCGTCACGGCGCAAAAGCTGGCCCGTGCAGCTGGGCACCAGCGATGAAGGCGTGAATCACGCGCGCCATGCCATGCTAGACCGGTTTGATCCCACCAAAGCCCGGGACCGCCCCAAGGAGATCGTAGAGTTAGAGAGACAGCAGGAGGAGGAACGAAATAAAAGAGCGGCGTCCCAGTTATCCATGCCTAGACTCAGGACCCCTGTCTTCCAAACAGAACCGCGGCTCTTAAAAGAAAAGCTTCATCTGACTCACTGCCTTGTGTTCACTCCAAGCAAGCTATAGGACAGACAACTGTTCAAGAAACAATATCAGAGGAGGAGGAAGGTCACAAACCAAAGTTGTTGATAAAGTCAGTGTCTGATTTACATGATAAGCGGGCGTATCTGTCAAAAGTTCGTTCTCGTTCTCCTGTGAGAGACCCGAGGTACACGGCGCTGGTGAAAGATGTGCTGTCTGAGCCGTACAATATGGCCTCCCCGGTGGAAGTGTCCGCTGTGGTGAGCAAGATGCCCGCTTTACACGTCCCACCCAGGCAACCCAAAGAAGCCAAACCAAAACTGGCGAATAAGATTCAGGAATACATGCGTGAACGCGGCATAGTTTTCTAAATAATACAAAAACAGAATTACTGAGCATTGACTTACAAAAACTAACTTGAAATTGGTTCTGTTACAATGACAAAATACGACAACATTCACGAACAGCAGAAAGAAAACGCTGCGAAAGTGTTTATTTGTGAAGACGTGAAAATAACTCCCAAAGATCCTCAGAGGACATTTCGTTGTATGGTAAATAGAAACGTCAAGCTTTTGTGTCAGGGTCAGTCTGATGTACCCGTATCGTACAGACGTTGAAGTTTATTACAAAGCATGTGTTTGTGTACTCGTTGTTGTCCCCACCGACAAAAAAGTAGACTTCATGATTCTCTAGTCTGCTGACTCGCTCAACACAGCTTGTCTTGACAGTAGACCTTCCTGCACAAGTACACGTGCACTTTTGCTCACACGAGCGGCATTTACATTACCTGTTGTCAGCTTGTTGTATCTGATGTAAACTGTGTCCATTAAATAAGAGAGAGATAACTGTGATTCCGGTCATTCCTTCCAGCCATTGTGGTCACTGCCTCCTACGTTATTTACTGTCCCAATTTAATATACGAGCTTTTGGATTCTCTCTTTTCTTTCTTGTATGTAGTATAAATATCATGTGTTCGTTTCGATTGCTCACGATTTCAATTGTGAAAAGTGTTTATCACGTTTTGTAGACAGTACAGTTTTTGAGTATATAATTGTGGTACAGCATAATATGGATACATAAAACCTATTTGTCAAATTTATTTTGCAAATAATTTGACAATTAGATATAATTTATCCTCCAATGTTTTATATTCAGTTTTGTACAGTATTGTGATACATATATATTTTTTCAAATGTAACTGGAATAAGTATTGTGCTCACTTTTTAAAAACATATTACAAGCGGCAAATATTTTTATCCCACCTGTGCATCCAGTATTTTATATCCATGTAGGTATCGTTTGCCTTGTCATAGCGTACTTTATTCATACCTCTCACCCTTTAGCCAGTATAATTTCAATCATTTTAATAAATTTTTTACAAATATTCTGTTTTCTGTTTTCAGTATAATGTATTCAAATATAAATTACGTCAGTAATGCAAACAACAGTGCTGTAGCCTATTGATTGCAGTAGGTGTGACCCATGTGCAAGGTAACATAAATGCTACAGAGAAATACAAACGCAATGTTCGCACTGATTTTTCATCGTCTCCACAATGTCACTGGATATGCTTCATCTGTTTTAAAGCAAGCAATTCATCAGCGTGTTTTGAGCCACAAAAAAGCATATTTTAGTAATTATCTTATATGTGCTAAATAACTATTTAAGTGTTTTGAACAATTTTAGTGCTTTAGTGCTATTAACCCTAAAAAATCGTTAAAATACTGTTTTCGGTAGGCACACGTATCACGAGCAATCCGTGTTATATATATAAATAATTTCACGTGAAGAAGCAGTTATATTACTTTTTCAGAAAATAATTGATTTTTATCATTCGGTCATGAAAGCGTTGTAGAATTATGTAGTGTCTCTCCCTCACCCGTCCGATGATCTCTCACTTACCAACGCTATCTGTGTCGCCCAGAGACTGGTGAAACTGGTCAATAGTCCATCGAAATATTTTACGTGAGTGATTCAATTTTGTAATTAGTTCGTGACTACAGAGTATTTCTACTACTGTCATCCACAAAACTGATGAAATTTTTTAACATCAAGTCATGTTTATTTTCCTCCAGTTTTGTTTTGCCAACGGTCCGTGTTAGGCATGAATATCTGGAAGCTGTTAAGTCACTCTGGCATTTTCAAGTAGGCTTCAATGCGACACAGAGAGGTTTATTATGCATTATGCGCAAGCGTTGACATTATCACAATCCTCTCTTCTGGCTCTTCAGGTACGGGGTGAAATTAGCGCAATGCACTTAGATCGTATCACGTGTTCTATTCTTCTCCTGAAAATGTTGCCGTTAAAAGAGCTCGTAAGACATTTGTTTTCGTTTTATATGACTCCACCTGTCTCAGTAAAAAATGGATTTGAATGCAACTGCACAGCAAGTACACTGGCTGTTGGTGGTAAACCGCGCTCGCAAAGTTTGTGTCGTTAGTTTCTTTTGTGTGTGGTAAAAAATAACAAGAAAAGAAAACAAAATTCTATACATAAAAAAGCGATAATGATGTTTTTCAAATGACTAGCAGGTTCAACAATTATCACAATAGAAAATTACTGGGGGCATTTACATGTTCTAATGAAATGTAGTGCAGTTTTGGCTCAGTTGCTCTGTGCAAATAAATATTAAGCATTCGTTCTATTTCAATAGGGGGATAATTCGAAAGATTTCGATAGGCGATAAACAGAGTTTCTAGACTTATTCACGGACATTAAACCTTGATGATAAACGCCTAAACAATATTTATAATTTTAATGCAAAGGACTTCCCTTTCACGGACTACTTATTGGAGATGATAAATACTTTTGTTTATTTACCTGTGAGGAAATGGACTGTAAAACTATAAATACAGCGGTCACCTCTAGACCTTAAGGGCCTCACATGTGTATTGGGTTCACCCTCGTACGTCAACATACTTTGTCAAACATCGTCATATTGAACCTGCCATTTTGTTGACTTGCCATGCCAAATGTTGTCTAACACTAAATGCATTAATTCAGTGCAAATATTGACACAGCATATGGACCGATGTCTTTTTTCATTCAATACAGGCATCTCGCGCAATTTAACCCGTATACCGTGCTGTCAGCACGAGACAGATAGAACCAGACCGGGGTCCGCGGTAACTAAGGAAGCCGCCTTTGAAATACGTATTGAACGTTCTGTATTACGAAACTAAGCAAATAGTGAGATAGCTGGGTGATACAGGTACAGTCCCCACGGACACTGTCAGTGTAAAAAAAGTCAGAGAAAACAGCAATAAAGGGATCAAGGCGGCAGAACAACCAAACGGAAATCGATTGAACTAATAGAGTCAGTGGATGGTATCCAGGACGAGTAGGAACAAAATGGAAGCAATCGAATTTTTTTACACGCCCAGATTGAAGAGAATTTGAAAGATAATTTGTGTAATCAGCTTGACGGAGTCACACACTTGTTGATGTTAATATTCAAGGCACATCCGACTAAGCGGCAAATATTATATCAAGAAGACTCACTGACGGACAAAGGGTGTGTAGGCCACAGCGTTAGAAACCAGGGCACGTTCTACACGCATTAACACAGACTTTGTCATTTAATAACAATTTAGTTCGATTGCACATATTGAACGTTTTAGTAAGGTGCAGCCCCTCCTTCGATTAGATTAATGACGACGTGATCCTGTCGGATAATAGTTCACCAGAACACGGACGACAACAAGCGGTATTTGTAACACACCTAAAAAAAATCACTGTTTTCATTTTTGTCGGAGATGCCTGGATAAAAAGGCTAACAGTAATCCCTCCATGCCATTAAAACCAACTGCATGAAGGAAGAGGGAGAAACGTTGCTTAGTATGCTTCAGGGCGGCATATTTCACGCGATATCTCGAGAACGCTTTAAACAAGTACGGCTCTTGGTGGAGAAAGGTTTAAATGTTAACATCAAAAACGCCGGAGAAAATGGGAAAACTCCTCTCATTGCGTCCCTCCTTATTGAAAATGCCGAGAAACGTGAGCGGATGTTTAAGTTTTTGATGAACCATGGTGCCAATCCCTTGGAGTGTGACTACTCCGGCAGGGACGCCCTGGCTTGGGCGTGTATTCTGGGACGCTGTAAAGCGGCAGAGGCCATACTGCAAGATACAAGAGGGGAGATCAACCTGCACCACGGTGACAGAGATGGGCTGACAGCGCTCCATTACAGTACTATGTATGGCCACGAAGACTGCGTCAAATTAGTGGCCACGACCTTTAACAAATACGGACTCAGTCTGGACATAGCCGACAACAACGGTCTTACGCCATATCTTCACGCCAAGAAGTTGGGTTTCAGGGAAATTGCCACCTTTCTGTTTCAACAGGGCGCGTCTCCTTATAAATGTGATACAAAAAATAACATGACGGCAGAACAATGGGCTGCCATAGGATTGCAAGAACGGAAAAAGCGAGCAGTGCAGGATAGAAAAAAAGCTGACGACTGGATTAAAATTCAGGGTAAAAACAACTCTCTTTTTGATGTAAAACATCGGAAACTGAGCATCTCACTTCCAGAAATCCAAATTACCAGCCCAAACAACAAAGTCAGGCTATTAAAAAACGACAGTTTAGACACAATAGATGGGATTTCGGTGGCATCTCGATTAAGGCGCAATTACCAGTCTTCCTCTATAAAAGGTATGTCTAAATCCCTTAACTCATTACCAGACTCTGATACGACTGAGTGTGATAGTTCAACGTCGTCCAGTTTTCAAAGGGTGGGAGTTGCACGCGATTTATCGGACTACATGTCCACCCTGTCAGATCAGGCTTCTGGATCCTACCGCAAACCAGCGCAACCACTCCAACCCGTTCTTGAGAAATCAGAGATACAGCCAAAACTAACAAAGAGACAACTAAGAAAACTTAATGCTGCTAACACAGTGACAAAAAATGCTAGTTCACAAGCAGAGGACAAACCGGATGATGCGGCCACCAAAAATAAGAAAAACGTGACATTTGCAGCGTTAGGGAAAACTGCACGCATGTTGAGTCAGCCCAGCCTGCGACCTCCCCCTATGAAAGTACCCGACAGACGCTACACTTCACAAACTTTGCAAACTGTGCAAAACGCTTAAAAGCATTTGGGACGATTTTTTGTATCAAAATACCGCTATTTTTATTGATAACCTTCACATGTCTAAAATACGTATATTAAAGCTCTAAAGTAAAATACATCGACATGCAAGATCTTACTCTGAGGCTTGCTAATGGTGACGTGGTGATGAATTTCGGTGGGGAAAACAATTTGGAAAACAGTAAATTGGATACAATGTGTTGAATGTATTACTTTTAAGTTGACATACAATGGGTATTTAGTGAAAATATCGACAGCGCGACCACCAATTTACCCCCTTGGTCCTAAATGTAAGTTGCGCTTTGAATTAAAAAAGATATGAATTTTTCACTTCTGCCAGCCTGACTACCAGTTCATACAATTTTTTTGATTGGTATTCTCTCCTTGAGCAATCAACTTGGATCATATTTCATAATAACGGCTAACATCTATCAATATTTCATTTAATTAATTCCACACATAAACGTTGTTGATTTTCGTTTCTATTCATTTCACTTAATACGAGGTGGGAATTGTATCCCATCTTTTAGAAATTTGTACACGCAAGTTGACTACTTTCAATAAACAGAGTTGCCTTTACGATTTCTCGTGAATGATTGTAGACGGTCATAAAAACGTTGTTTAAATAATTTTTGTGTGCGAGTGCAAACAAAAAATAAGTTATACAAATACTTTTTTAAGAATTGTATTTCATCTCCTGGGTATGGTGCGGCTCATATACATTACATAAAAACGTGTACACGTATGCAGTTGTTGCAAATCCTACTACCCAGTGCTCTCCTTCAAAAATAACTAAGTTTGCCAAGGTTTTACTAAACTTCATATTTACCAATCAAGCACTTTTCAAAAGAAACCATGTTATGATTGTATTTTGCATCATCTTGTTGTTCCATCAATTTTAACAATGAGAGAAAATGCGAGAAAAAAATACGTAAGATCATTTAAAATGCCCATTCAAAAATACAATTAATCTTGTGGTGTAAGCAATAACATCTTAAACGGGGAGTCAGGGACACTATTTTTCTTTTCAAACTTGAAGCTAGATATCCATATTTATTTTTTATACAGATGCTTAGAACTGCCATGACAACCTGGCTTTACCCGAGTGAGGTCCAGCCCATCCCTGGTCCAGTGGTGACCCCATTGTTTACATCTAATAGTGTTAATCCTATGCAAACCCGAAATAGTTAAAATCAATACAAGTGAGCCCCAAGGTAAATATGATCAGAGTTAATATTCAATGGATTATCCTCAGCAAGTAATGCGCTGAAATTGATTCCTTGTTCATGAACATAGAGTTTCTTGGTTGGGTGCTACACGATACCCATGATCCCCCATACTACAAATAAAGTGCTTTCACATTTAAAGGGGACTTCATTAACTTGAGATCAATTTCAATTATTCAGTAAATAAGGTTTTTATTTATTGTTATGAACCAAGTGAACAAACCAGATCTATTTTTTTCAGTCAATGCCATTTGTACCGTAAATTCCTGATGAAGTGATACACTGACATACATAACCCTTACATATAACTTTCAGTTTTTTTTCCACCAGTAATATGTTATGGTGAATTCTAGATAGTTTAATTTCAAATAAATAAAATAAATAATTGCTGAGCAGCATTCATTACAGTAGTAAATCAGTCTGTACTCATATTTGTGTCACTTGTTCAAAAATATTCCAGCAATTAAGATTACATCATAAAACCCACCCTTCACCCTGAAATTTATACTATTGCTTCCATATTGTGTGAAATCCTCAGAGAATAATCAGCATTCACCTCAACACCTTTTATCCCACCAACAAAATGCATCCTTCAATGTGCGAATTGACAATGTGGTTGATAAAAAAAACATGGTCAAATAGTTATTAATTGGGAAGGAAAAACAATCATTTAATTAAATTGAAGTCATGATTCCTTGTTTTTCCAATATTTCTACCATTCTCTGATTCATCAAGTACTTGAAGCAGACTAGCAATCTCATTTACATGAAATATCTAAATGCATTTTTTAATTTCCCTGAATGGAAACATTTTAACTGGCAATATATATAAGGCATGCTTTTAGCATCTCTTCCTGGAAGACCTTGAACTTGATGACCTTCACCTTGATTTTACACCATACTCAGCATTAAGGCTCCTGCCTATGACTAGTCTTCTCACTTCACTGGTACCAGCCCCTATCTCATACAACTTGGCATCTCTGAGGAAACGACCTGTTGGATAATCATTAATGTATCCATTTCCACCTAAAAATAGACCAAAAATTGATGAATTTTTGTCTTCATTCTGAAGAATATCACCTTTTTTTTCTGAAAAAAATCACCACATTGACATAAGCTTTTTACTTGAAATCATGTGACTTCTTTTTTCATTTCAAAGAAGTTATGGAGGCACCAACAAGGTCACTGACTAAACTTAATTTTTTTCTTTTTCTTTTTCTTTCCTTTTTTTTTTTTTTTTTTGGTGGAGAAAAGTCTCTGTATAGCCTGCTCTGTACTACTCGATATCTGCATTGTACTAAATATTTGTAAATGTTAGTGTACTGCTACCCCTTAACACACTGACTACTGGACAGCCTTGGCAGTTGTTATAACAACAAAAGTGGCTATTTATATCTAACTTTAATCCTGAAAATGTTCGTAATTTGAATTCACTGTTAATAATATCAAACTGTCAAACTAAATGTCAGTTCAAGAAGTGACATGACAGAAACCAGTTGCATGCTTGATTGGGTTTAGTTCTATACAATGTTTCCATATCATACGCTCCCCATAAATACAACTTGGTAGAGGCACATATGTGACATTCCTTAAACAACGCAACAAGGCAAATATTATACCAGAACCTACTGTTTATATCTCTTCACCATGAGATCTGCCTAACAACAAAAGTACAATTCACATTGTGGTCTATATGTTTTATATTTCCCATTATCCCTTTGACAGTATTAGCACACTTAGTTGACAATGAGCAATTTACTGTTTACAAGACAAACAATTTCACTACCTGTAACATAAAAAAAAAAGAAAAGTTCAACTCACCCAGTATCTGAATGGCATCTAATGCAACTTTTGTTGCTGCTTCAGCTGTGTACAGTATAACAGCAGCACAGTCCTGAAGTGTAATCAAATATCAATAGGTAAGACAATGCTGTTTTATCTTAAAATAGTCCATTGATTTTCATGTAATTTGTCCTTTTCATCTCACTACAGTTTTACATTAAAGAGAGATACAATGGTTTAATTGTAATACTTACATTGTAATACTTACTAAAACAGCAATATAAAGTCTAATGCTTAAAACATTAGTCTATTTCACAAAGTTCTGCACTGAACAAAGGATCAGACCTCTCTCTCTGTGCGTGTCGTGCGTGAATACAATCAAGAAAGTATTACAATAAATACACTCTTGGTAAAATGAGGCAACATTCTTGGTAATCCATTCTTATATGTAAGGAAACAAAAGTGTGCTAGCATTTAGCCACTTAGTGTGTTAGGCTTGCCTACACAGAGTCCCAAGGACGCAAACACTGAGGCACTTGGCCTGCCAAGACAAAGTCTCTAAGGATGTTGACAGTGAGTTTTTAAGTTCTAATTTCTGTGCTTACCTTGGGTATGACATTCCCTCTGTCCAAGGACCTGGCAACATTGTACACATAACATCTGGAGGCATTCAGGATAGTGTACATGTCAGCCATCTTGCCTTGGAGTAACTGGGAACAGATTATCACTAAGTTTAATTAAAAAATTACTGTACATAGTTTTAACTGATACAAAGTCTTCCATTGTAAGACAAACTATTTCACAGTACAACTTTAACTTGAAGTTCAAAACTGTACAAATCTGATGAATGATTGTTAAAGGGATAATAACTCTTCGTTTCGGCCAAAAAATGAATTTTCCTGGAGTAAACAACAATTTTCCCATACTTACCAATGGTTAATGAATCCATTTTTACATTCAAAGTTAGTCCCTGGTTTTTTTCTAAAAAGTTTGGTTTTTTGTTAAAATCTCTTAAGAGATTTTAACAGAGTATAGCCATCCATGGAGGTCACATGGTCTAAAGATAAGCTCAGATATCAGAATAATAGCTATAACTGCCATTTTTGTGGTAAAACAGAATATATTATATTTCTATGAGTTATTCTCAATGTTTTTATTGTGAAATATAGATCTCATACAAAGAGTTATTATCCCTTTAAATCTATTTTTGACAGAAAGGGTTTTAGCACTTCTGATAGATTTTAGTGATGAATATTCAATTTGGTGATAAAATATTTCGAAGTACCTGGAAAGTTCCAATCTTCTGGTTGAATTGTTCTCTTTCATGAGCATATTGGAAAGCCATATCACAGGCAGCTTGCATAATACTGTAAGTTAAATGTGACTTCTCTAAATCCTTTTAGCATTTTATTAAAACGCAGTTTTTCCCATTATATTGAAAACAAACAAAAATTTTGTTTTGTGCATGTGCGGATACCACAATCACTGTTATGTAAGAAAAAAATCAATATAATAATGTTACTGAAAAAAAGGAGACAAAAACTACTGCATATAATTTGCTTTACTGGCACACACAATGCCAGTGTTGTTGTAAATATTGATGACCCCCTCCCTTCACTTACCCTATTGGGCCAGCAGCTAGGAACAGCCGTTCAATATCAAGCCCACTCATCAACACATAGACCCCCTTGTTTGTCTCACCAACCACATTTTCCACTACAAGCACAGATCAAGAGAATTAGAAAAGCAGTGATTGATTATCTCTTTTATCAGGGCGCACTAAAAACGGACTCATACCATCAGAACTCTGGACTCCCTACCAACCTACCCCCTTCCCTGCAGTGTGTAGGAGTCTGTCCTAATGGGAGCGTGTGGGTGTGTCAGATTGTGCTCATTGTGTTAGGTGTGCTCACCCAAGACATCCTGCCCCTCCTAATGCTCTCTCTATATCCAAACCACTCATCAGGATATATATGCCTTTCCCCTCACCACCAATTATATTTTCCTCTTCAAAGTAAAAATGGAAGTTTTGAGAAAACCATAAAGCACATGCATGACTCATTTTTTCCGGGTTAAAAAATTCAATCTTACAAGAAATAAAGAATGCCTAGAGAAACAAGCAGTGTTTTTTGTTGTATTTTTTAATAACTTATCTGGTGGGCAAATTCATTTCAAAATCAAAATTACAGTTTGTTTTCTTAACTTGCTATTCTGTCACACCTTTAAAAGGATTCCACACCTAAACAAAGTAAAAAAAATATCACCTGGCACTTTGACATTGTCAAAAATAAGTTCTCCAGTGGGGGATCCCCTCATCCCCAGTTTGTCCAGCTTCTTTCCCACACTGAAACCTTCCATTGTCTACAAAAACACAAAAAAAAAACAAGTAAATTGTCAGTTTGAAAATACTAAATATATAAAATTAGACATCAAAAATTCCATAAATACAGGTACTAAGCAAAACAAAATTAATGATACAGACTGCTAGAGTCCAGATACGATAAATGGTGACAAATGTGAAAAACTTTTTTTTTAAATGTCAGTAATTTTCATTTCAACATTAGGAAAGGTCTATCAAAAGTAGGTTATTTGGTCATTTGGATTCAAAGTATGTCCCTTATTCCATTTAAACTCCAGGATTACTCATACATAAAAAAGAATCCATGGACAATGATTGTAGTTATACAAAACTGAAAACATGGCATATCATTTACTTATTTCATATTACGGTGCTATATAATAAGTTGAGTGAACCTTTTCAATAAGAAAAGTGGTAATTCCATGTTGTGCCTTTTTGGGCTCTGTTTTAGCATAAACAACAAGAACATCTGCCTCCGGGCCATTTGTGATCCAGAACTTGGTACCATTCAGCAAATAGTGGTCGCCTGGGAAAGGGGTAGAATACAAATTATATTACATCACACTTAACATAAACATATTTACTTACCATATAAAAACACAAGAAAACTTATTCCAGTGGCTTGAGAGAGAGAGAGAGAGAGAGAGAGAGAGAGAGAGAGAGAGAGAGAGAGAGAGAGAGAGAGAGAGAGAGAGAGAGAGAGAGA